CCCGCGGCTTCTCCGCCGGGGCAGCCAGGTGCCGGCGGGAGGGGGCGAGCGGGGTTGCTCTCCCCATCTCTGAGACGGCAGCCCCGGGGAGGTTTCTGCCTTTGCTGGGATCGAGCCTTGCTGAGGGCAGCGCAGCCCAGCACCGCTCCCGTGCGGGACCCGACCTCGCAGGGGATGTGGAGGGTGGGGGTGCAGCGTGGTGCCCCGGCCCTGCTCCCCGGCAGGAGTTCAGCTGTGGGGATATCCGGGACACAAGGGAGGAGAGGGTCACTCGGGCTTCAGCACCTTCTGCTCGGAGGTCAGTTGTGGCCACAGTTGATCTACAGCCCCTCTGAGCAAGCCTCCCAACTTCCCTGTGTTACAGTGCAGCCAGCTCTGAGGAAGCCCCGTTTCTGCCCAAACTTAGCACTGCTCCTCTGATTAGCAGAAAGAGGAGAAATGTCTGATCTGAGAGACAGATGCCTGGACTTACTCCTTTAAACTTCCTCTTCCACTTGACTGGTTCCCGTGTGATGGATTTTTCTAGGCTTGTTGGGGCAGGTGCAGGAGATCCAGGCTGTGCTGGGCATGGGGGCTTGGTTCACCTTCTGGAGGATGCTCAGGCTGGGGCAGAGAGCTGTTTCTCCAGCGCTGGCACAGGTCAGGCCTGGCCGTGACAAGCAGGGGCAGTTCAGGGCCAAGCACAGCTGCGTGGTGATGTTCACAGACTCTGCTTGGCCAGGAGACCGGGCAGCGGGTCACCTCTGCCGCAGTTAGTTTTGATGCAGAGCCATGCAAAACATTTCCTACTGGAGCGGAGCTGTGTGAGGGGTTTGTGTAGGTTAGTTAGGATGGTGCAGTTCAACAAGAAGGAGATTATAGTGACTGTCTCTTAGCTGTAGCTCACTAACATTTTTCTCTTGTTGCCTGCCAGAGACCCTACTGGAGAGAAACCAAGATGCGGGAAAATAGGGAAGTTTGGTTTCTTAGGGATTTGTGTCCCTGGAGAGCGCCCTTGTGGCTGATGGCTGGTAATAGGTGAAGTCGAGATGAGCCCTCCCCAGGTCACACTGGTAGAGTTGCTTTTCTCTGTCCAGTGGTCTATTTTAAAGGAAATTAAACCCCATTTTGGAAAAACTTGAAGTTAGGTGACAAGTTCAGAAGCTAGCAGGTGAGTAACTGGTAGGGCAGGCGCTTGCACAGTGAGCTCGCTGCACAGTCTAAGGAAATTGGACTAAAAAAAGACACATCAAGCAAAAAGTAATTAATGTTCAGTCCTTGGAAGCTTCTGCTGAGTGTGATCTACCCCAAGTACTGAGCAGTCTATCAGTAAGGGGTTGTAGTGTCCCAGTGAACTTCCAGATACTCTTGCTTTTTCAGAGCATTAAGCCTCTGGTAGTAAAGGGAAAGCCAGCCCAAACCAGATTGCCACAGATTTGATTGCTGACTGGAAAAGATGCTGCTGGTTATCAACATGACTGGTCATGAGTGATTACTAACTGTGACTTGAATTCTTTATGTGCTGTGAGCAAACCCTCTGTGTACACTTTTCCAGGAAAAAAGTGTAAAAAGATCTTCTCAACGCAGAATGCATGAAGCCTTACATGTGTCTTCTGTTCAAGGGAATGAAAGAGCGAAAAGTGTAAACCTGGGAGCAATAGTCACTAGTATCAGGTGGCTTGAGGAAAAAGTATATTGTGGACAACATTCTCTCTCTTTTGAGATGTTTGCTCCTAACTAAATAATCATATTGAGCTATAAAATAGAAAGCATAAATATTTCATAATATTTATACAACTTTGAAGGGGAATTTTCTTTAATTCATCAGTATTATGCATAATAAGACTTTGTTTTCTATTAATTGTTAGTTTTAGTAACTATATTGGATACAAAAGGAGTGGAACTGCTAAATGTCCGTAGAGAAGTTCTCCAGTGTTTCCTGGTGTAGGTGCAGTGTTCTATGGGCCGCCACAAAGGCAGCTTTCTCTCCAGCCTAGAAAGGGCAGATCTACAGTTTAAATAATAGTCAAGTTTTCATATTAATTCAGTTTTTTATAACAAACAGCAAGGATACAAATCAGTACCTCTTGTGATGGTGTGTGTTTGTTTTTTGAGGTAGAGAACTGTGACAAAGCTTTTGTTACAAATCATCAACCCTTTTTGTGTAACTCCTGTCACTGACACATGAACAGCAGCTATTTACTCCGACTGGTAGTACCTGAGTGTCAGCTGAAGAGAATGGCTCATCTTCCCATCAGTCAGGAAAAGTGTTGCGTTCGGCTGAGTACTCAGCCAAGCGTTCAAAACTGGAGTTATATATTTGGATTGTCTGTTATTGCCGAAAATCAAACCCAAGTGTCTGATTTAAAAGAAAATTGAGCAGCCCAATTGCTTCATTTGAAACAGAAAGCACCCAGAACAGTGCTGTATACAGAACAGAGCGTGCAAGAAGCATCATCTCTGTGTGTTTTCTGTTTTTTCTTTTCTGAGGATGCTACTCCGTATTATCAATGAACTGAATAGGAGGACGGCTGAAATGTGCTCCCCCTTCTTCTCTCTTTCCATCCAGCGTTATCTAACCACACAGTGAGCTAATTCAACTCACTAAGCAGCACCTCCACACACACCGTTCTTTTATTTTATTTCATTCTGGAGGCTTGGTTAGCTGTTTGCACAGTAAAGAGAGCTGACCTGGAGTGCCACCAGGTGAATTTTAGGAGCAGCACAAGGCAAGTGGCTGGAGCACGTGACCAGGGGCGAGGGCTGAGAGGGGATGGGACCTCCTCCTTACTGCGGTGGGGACCTCATTTAGCTCAGGCCATAACGGAAAAGCACAGCATCATAAGGTGTCTTCAGTGAAGCTGGAAAAAGAAAGGTGAGACACTGTCAGACATTCTACAGGTACCACTCATTCATAGATACATAAATAAGATGTAAAAGCAAGAGTGGTTATCTGTGATGCTCCATTTGGATGTGGCTTGCAGGCAATTCAAGGGCAGGTTCTGGACTAGAGCTATGTCATGGGAATAAGAGCTGTGCTCTACTTCATGTGGGTTTGTTGCGGGGCAAAGGGACATGGCAGCACTGAAATAGAGTGGACACTCAAACCTGCTCTGCCGTGTCGGGGCAGTGAGCTGCTCTGACCTGCCTGGAAATGACTCTTTAGGTCTTTTTCTCCCCTTAATAATCAGGGATATTTGGTGTTGTGTGCTTCTTGGCCATATGAAGACTTGTATCCTGTATCTTGTAGGACCCAGAAGGACACTCATATATACAATAAAAATACTAGTTTCACCATCACTTCAGCTGTCTTAACTTCTTATCTCTTTTGTCCCTGCATGTTCAAAAGTCTTATCTCACACAGATTTGTCCCTGTTTTTCTTGGTGACCTGATTAATGAGAGTGAGCACTTTGAAGAGTATATTCAGAAGAAATAACGTATTCCAACTAACCAAAAAGCAGTCTTCATCTTTTGCTAGGATTTCTGATAGGATGTCACTAAAAATACAAGTTGTTCCTTATTATATCTAGTGGGATTAAATTTTCTGTCACAACATCCTTTACTTGCCTGATTTTTATGAAGTTTCTATGCTTGAGTGTGATTTTTTTTTTTCACTAAGAAGTGTCTCGTAAAGTTTTTAAGCTTAGTTATGAAAGCTCCTCAATGGGCAATCTTTTTCATAACTAACCCCTGTTTCTGATGCGTAACTGTGGTCAATTTCTTTTATGAAGAACCCAAATATGTATTTTCACAGGGAGGATTCAGCATCAGATTATTTTTGAATGTCACCCTGGGGGAACTAGAATAGTTCGTCATTCTTCTCAGATATTCTTTGTTACCTTTATCGAAATACTTTCAGCAGAACCAAAATAACTTCCATGTAATTAGATTTAAAGAAGTCTTGGGAAATAAAAAAGTCTGCATTAACTGTTCTTTTCTTACATATTCTCCACAACAGTGGAGAAATGAGCTATCTGAACTTACCGGGGGTAGGGGGCTGAAATTTGTCTTTGTGCTGGGAGACCAGCAAGACATTTTAAAACATTTTGATTAGTTATTTTTCAAGCATGAAGGAATGAAGATAAATATTGCTCTCAATTTGCCAGTATGTTCAAATTAGCCTCCTGAGCATATCTACTTCAGATTTAGAATAACATCAGAGAAGAGAATTTGGCCCTCAAACTATTTAAACTTTGAGGTTAAACTTAAGAGTTCAGTTTTATGCCAAAATTTCTTGTACATCAGCAGAAGAAAACTGTAAGTTGTCCCATGACGTGGTGCTAATTTAACCATTATTCATAATGAGTTAGATTTGAAAGATATGTTTGAGGTTTATTTTAGTTTACGGTTGAATCAAAAACATGTAACCTTATGTAAGGCATAAGAAAAGTTTTGTTCTTTTTGCTCGCTTAAAAAATCTCCTCTAAGCGTAGTGATAGTTACAGCTGGAAGTCCCTAATTCTGCAAGACCTGCTGTGCCTAAAACTAAACTACTTCAGTGAATGTAATTACAGATCTGGAATAAAAAAGGAGACCATTGAGGAATATAAACCTTGTCTCTAGGAAATTAAAATGTATGGTATGGTGTAACACAGAGTTCTTTGTAATACTTATGTCTTGTCCAATTATTATTCCTATTAATGAAATAGCTTTTTTTTTTTTTTAGTATATTGTGTTAACAGGAATTGCTGGGCATTCAGGAGGCTTAAAAGAAGATGAGAGTTAATAAAAATCGCATTCTCCAAAATTACGTGTGCACCAAAACAGACATTACCTCAGAAATTAGCAAAATAGTGGATGAAATTGATTTAAAAGAAGAATAACTGTTACATTCAAAAATTAAAATGAGTTTTCTTGGCTTATAGTAATTATTCCTGATTCCACATCCGAAATTTTTAAATAAATTATTTTTACAGTGAAGTTGGTAGGCAGGCTTTTCTGGAACAGAACCAGGCAAATATATTCTGCTTTCAGAAGCTTAATATAATCCATATTCCAAATAGTTAAGGGACTTATTTTTCTTTATTTTTATTGAGACAGACGTGATAGGCAAATAAATTATAACTCTGCATATTCGAGATCTAGTAGTTAAAAGAAAATATATTCTCATAAATGAACAAACTGAATGAAGTGTCAGATATTATTCTTCTTGGCGGAACATCTGTGTGGCAGTCTCCATGTGAAAATGCAACTAGCTTGGGTCCTGGAAGCAGTATAGATGCCATAGGACAATATGCGGCCTAGGCCAGTGCTTATTGAGGCAGGATCACAGGGGCTGCGAGGATCTCGCCACACCATGATGCAGAAATATGGACAGTCCCAATGAGTTCAGTGGAAATAACCATTATCTCTGCTTGAACCAAGACTAGGTGTCAGCTCTACCCCAAAAATACAAGTAGGCAGGATACGGTTTTGTTACATAGTATTTCATTTGAGTGAGGAGAAAGAATTACTTTTCTTTAAATATATTGATAGTATTTTGATCTCGAAGCCATCCTCAAATTTTTCTTGATAAATTCTCCTGAACAAGTTGATATTGACCACTTTTTAATGACCCGTTACTTACTGTTTCCTCTAATAAATATACAGTTCCACACACTGATAGGTTCAGTTCTGATGAGTGCATATTTGTAACTGTATTTGTATTCATAAGCATATTTTGCTTTTTCCACCATTTTTGCTGTTTTTAATGGAATGAGCCTTGACTTTACTGCCTTTCATTCAGGTGAACTGTTATTTATCACCAGAATTTCATTTCAGAAAGTGTTATC